GTGCGATTTTTTATCATTTATATATTTATTTATTTCAAAAAGTCAATAAGCACCATGATTCTTACTGAATAAAACGCTACCTACACCTGAAGATTTATACATATATATAAGAAAATAAAAAGACAGTATTGAGTTAAGTAATTTAGAAAACACTTTCCTTGGCAAAGAAAAATCAAACATACGAAACTTAGTTAAGTTCGCGAAGTGAACGCACAATTGGAGCATTCCTGGCATAGATCGTAGTGAGATTTTCGATATAAAATGAACAAAAAGATGCCGCTAGACCCTTTCTTATGCGATTTCCTAAAGTCATAGGTCTAAGCTAAAAAAAGCCGCAATCGACCGATACATTTAAAGCCAACATAGCCCGGGCCGTTGCTCAAATTCTGCCGGATCTTAGCAGCAAAGTGAATGAAATTTGGAACACTCAAATCCGTATCACCATAAAAATGGCGGACATAAAAAAATAATTCTTAATAACTCACACTTGAGTTATTGGAAACCCCTTTATAAGTCCATCTGTCCATTATTAGTCCACAATTTACCAAAGGAACTCATATGCTCTCCCTGCGCGGAGAAATGACGTCAGATTAGATATTTACCAATCGGTTGCCTTTTTTATAGCGGACACCTCTGCAACCTTTGCATCAGATGTACGGTGAGTTTCTGACAGAATACACCACCTCCAACTCTGCTATCCAGCTTCGATCCATCTGTGAAGATATTTATTGGACCTCTACTCTGTAAATTCTGCTGGAATGTATTGTGTAGTCTCGGTCATGCTGTTTATAGAACATTTCTTATTTGTGCAACTCAAACCGATTGCCGACCTCCGTGCTTATTCATACAAAAATTTATTTAACGGACCCCCGGTGACTTTTCTACGGAACCCACTTTAGGAAGCTCTGATATAACTAATACATTACGCTCTATACTTTCCCTAGGGCCCAACTGTGCCATTTTTTAACCCATCCTCAACATTTAGCTTCCAAGATAGTTTTCTGTTAGGTACCGCCCCAAAAAACTTGACCCTGTCAGAGAGCGGTTTTCGGTAACGAGTTTTCTATGGACGCTCATGAGTCATAATCCAGAAAGCCTCTCTTCTCCTGTTTTGCTTCTCAGCCCGGTTTTTACTGTACGAAGTGTACTATACGATCGCTAAACAGTCGCTGTTGTGCATGGGCTGGGCGGTAAATTATGGACCATTCCATATGCCTTTGTGAGTTTTAATTTTGACAGCGGTTAACCGTCGACCGTGCGCAATGGATGTAATTTAGACAGCGAAAAAGCTGGAGTATTTTCATTGGAAAAGCGTAGTTGTAAAGATGCCGGTTTTAGTAAAAACAAGTACTAATTTTCATTGACCGATGGATGTTACTTCTGTTTTTTTTTTCTTCTGAAAGAAAAGTGAATTTATTCAATGGAAGCGGAGTGTAAAGGCGAGTACGAACATATGAGTATTTGAAGTGTTCCTACATACACTATGCAAGCTAATTTGAATGTTGAACACGGCAAGCAGCCGGCAGACGGCAGATTAGACGACTTTTGGGGTAATCAAATGATAACAATTCAACGATGGCACTTTGGGACATCTTCATACATATGCACATGCATGCATACGAACATATGTACATCAAAAAAAAAAAAAAAAAAAAAAAAATTAGTTGAAGCAGCGTAGACAGCCAAGAGCAAGAAATCTTGTCCCAACCGCCATCGCCGCAGCTTACAACACATCGGTAAAAATGCAAGCGTTTGTTATCATCTTGAAACTATTTATATTTATGAACATTTACACACGCACGCACAACCACCCGCACGCAGATACGATTACACTTTGATAGATATGAAAAGGCTTTTTTATTGGCTTGTACGATAATAACAAACGGATTGCTATGTCGCTTAGCCGATCAAACGACGCGCTAAGCTCTTTCAGTCTTGTCTTACGGTTACTTTAGAACGGAGTGGGCCGGGTCGCAGTACCCTTAATCGGCCAGGGGTCCTCAGTCGATACTAAGAATTGTGTGTGCATTGCAGTGCGAGTAAAGTGATTTATGTACATATGTATGTGCGCCGTGCGTAGACGTTAGGTAGGGGCGATGACATTGGCGCTGAGCGATAAGTCGTACAGCTTCCGAGCGAGTAAAACGAAAGTGGTTTGCAGGCAACCGGAACTGTAGGCGGTGGGTTAGCAGGCGATCTATTAAAAAAAGAAAAATAATAATAATGTGTAGTGTTCTTAAGCCATCACGTGGTGTGTAGAGTGGAAAAACTAATTGGAATTCAAATTAATTAACATAATTAATGGCGACTAAGAAGTGAAAGTTTATAATGAAAGAGCAAAAAATGTCGTGGCCTGTCGCGGTTTGAATTTGCGAAACAAAAAAATAGAGCAAATAAATTTGAGAAAAACGTCCGCTGACTTGGTTTTGGTGTTCCTTTTCATCATCTTTTTGGCGCTACTTGGTGTAAGTTGTGTTCTTGCGTATATCTATGCGAATTAAATTAATTTACAATCTTTACTACCAGTAAATTTTTCTGCATACTTATCTAACCGTGTACATATGTATTTCAAAATACCTTTAACTGGGTCAGAAAGATAAGCCGCCAGCCATGCGAAGTACTCAAGCATGTACTAAGTGATAAAATTAGGATTTCTTTATAAATCATTTGAATTTTGTTAAACAAATTTGTGTTTTTCTCTGAAAAAATACGCAATAACACCTCAACCAGCTACAGTAGTTTGAAAACAGGGGCGAAGGCAGAAGTATTTTTCCGGTGAGAGGGGGTTGGGAGTTTAAAAAAAAAAATTATTTTTTCCATTTAAACAATTCCACCAAATATGCGTTTCGTTGGCTCAATATGTCTATATTTTAATTTTTTTAAATAATTTCAAGTGATTACATATCGACTCCTGAGTGGAAGATCGACCTCTCTCCTCGGCAGCCAGTTCGAAAATGCCCTATCTCAGGATTCGGTTGACGAACGCCCCATCTCAAATGAAAATGTGCTGAGATAGGACGTTTTTGAACCGAATTCGGAGACAGGGCGTTCTTCAACAAAAAAAAAATAGACAAGAACGTGTATATATAAATTCGGTCGCAGGGAATTTAAAACTTGATTTTTGGGACGCAGATTGTTGTGAAATTTCCAGCATTTTTAAAACAATGGTGGGAAATTTTTTTTTTTTTTAATTTAGAGAAGCGACCATTTTACCCCCTTCGAGATGTAAGCTCCTTTTTCCAATAGTCATAAACTGCAGTAAGGCTTGGTGTAATGAACTATTATTCCGGAATCAGGTGCACTAAGGTGAGAACAGGAGTGTGTTAATTTTCTAGCTACTTGACCACTCGTCAGGTGAATTTTTGGCTGTCATTGTAGTTTGTTGTGAGCTTGTTTGTTAATATATAAATCGAGATCCGTGGGGCTGGCTATTAAATATGTCAATAAAAACCGATTCCTCAACATACTTCAGATGACTTCAAATTTGGATAGAAGCTTATTTACAGTATATGGAACATGAATTCAAGGTTGCCTGCGAATTGACAGCACATTAGTAATAGGTGCGATCCCGTACGAGTCCAGACTAGTCATAAATAGTCAGAATCAGTCTGATTTTACTGGAAATCGATCCCGTACTCGGTTCTCTGACTATTGAGAGGACAAAAAAGAGAGTAAATACGGTTCTCTCTCTGTCAGAAGTTACCAGTTTTAGTCAGAGAATTTTTTTACTGGTAAATTCTGGTAAATGTGTCAAACGATCAGCTGTAGTGTGTTTGGCAACCAAATTGTAAACAAAAGAAAAGTGCACTCTGCTAATTCATGTTGAAAAGTATTTAATTAATTGTTTAAGTGGATTCTAATGAATTTGAAAGTATTTTTGGTTATTTAGTACATGTGTGAGCTGAGTGTGTTTACATACAAAATAAGCAAAAATTTACAACCAAAATTTGGAGGTTATGTTGAAGTTGACAGAAGTTACCATTTTTTACTAGAAAGCGATCCCGTACTTTTCACTGTTACTCTCTCGCTCTGAGCGAATTTTTATTTTTTGACAGTTTTACTAGTCCGAGTCCGAGGAATACGGGATTGCACCTAATATTATAACTGGAAAAATATCTATAGCCATCCTACATTCTAATGTTCATATCAAATGAAAAATGTCAAAAACGTAATTTCCTTGAGTGCGGGCGCACGTGAGAAAACGTATGTTGTTCATATGCCCTGGCGTATGAGTTATCTACCAACATCAATATTTAGTCCGGTTGAAAGCAAAATATCAATCTACTGTAATATTTTCTAATTGTTACTTTATTTTTACGCTTCCTACCTTGTACTCACTCAACTTGGTTTGTTCTTTATCTGCAGATTTTTTTTAATAGTTGACAATCCATGCACTTTTACGGAAATAAAAACAGTTGTATCTTGGTTTACCCAACTAACTAAATGAAAAAAAAAAATCGTAAAATTTTCCTCAGCCATTTTTTTGTTTGTACCCCCAAAACCCCTACCTGCGTTTGCCTCTGTGCGAAAAAGTGAAATGCAGACATTGATGAACACTTCCATGCACTTGGGTACTGCAAATACATTTTCTAATTTACATTTCTTTTATTTAATTTCTTATTTCACAAATAAAATACCATTCTTTCCCTAATAAAACCCAATACTAGCTTCAAATTTTGTAGAAAATTAAACAAAAATTCATCAAACTTTCACTAAAAGTTGCACACTTTTTTCAGAATTTTTAAATTTTTTTAAGTGTACTCTTGATTTTTTTTGACGCTGTTCCCATTTTTTCCCCCCTATTTCATCCTCTACCGACTCCAACAAAGCACGCCTGTCTTCCTCTGCTACAACCAACGGTATTCGAGACGAATACTTTCAGGGCTGGAGCGTCCGTGTTCATTCGAACGACTTGACCAAGCCATTTCTGTATTTTAATTTTCTGCCCACACAACTCTACCTTCCGTCGTCTCGGTGCATTATTTATGTATGTATATCACTTTTTTGCGAACTTTTGGCTATCTTTTATTTATGTAATAAAAAAAGATTATAATGTGGTGCGTAGCCGAAAATCAAATTAAGTAGTTGCAGACAACCATTGATGTCCTATTTTCAATGTGTTTGACCTCTGATAAGACAACTGATTAAAATGCTAAACATTGTAAATTTTTATAAGTGAGTAATTTCTTTTTCATTATAATTTGTTTGTTCTTTTTTATTAAGTAAATGAAGGAAAAATAAAGTGATACTCAGTGGAGCGAATATATTTTAGTCGGAGTCATAAAATCTGTAAATTTGCATTCATATATAATAGGCTGGTCCTTAAATATCAACATCTAAATTGTGTATGAACCACGTCTTTATTTTTTTCTACGTACAAAATAACATCCGCGAAAATTTCAAAATTTTACACAAATTTTTAGTGGTCGTTACCAGGGTTTGAAAAAATTTAATATATACTTTCTACTCGTGAAACTTCTACCAAATTTAGAACTTAAGTATAATAAATTTGACACATCATTGAAACTTACTTATATAAAATCATAAACCCGCTGAGCTATAGATGTTCAGAGGCAAACTTTGGTCGAACTTTTGCAATTTAAAAAAAAAAAATATTTTTTTTTTTTTTTCAAACCCTGGTAGAGACCCACGACCCACAAACTTAGTTCGCAATTTAGAAATTTCCGTGAATGTCTTTGTTTTGTACCAACAAATATTTTAGATATTATTATTTTAAGGTCCCACTAATACACAAACTCAATTGTGAAAGGCAAAAAAAGCACAGGTTTACGAGTATGCATGTACTTATCTCCATACAATTCATTCATTGTCTTCATTATCTTCAGTGATAATAAGTACGATATACATCTGTGCTCATAAGCAATAGTCACCTAAGTCGGCTTAAGAAAGAATAGAGTTATATATGCTGCAACTACTATTCCATGTGTGTGTGAAACTCCCTAGGCTATTTAAAAAGTTATGGATGAAAATATTTTGGTTTCCCCATAAGGCTTACATTACAAACCATATCGTTAAAGCGTTTTTTCTCGAGTTCAGGTTTTTCGACTTAGGCGATTATTGCTTATGACCACAGGCATAAGTACATACGTTTCAGGGTAGCCAACTCATTTTTGAGAATTCCCCGATTTCGACAATGAAATTCCCCGATTTTGCCGGAAATTTCGTGAAATTCCCCATTCATGGATATCTCCTTATTTACAAAAAAAAAATTGTATATTTTGACATATTTGTCTCTTTATTTTTTTATGTAATTCAGCTGTGTATGTATTCATAGACCAAAACAAACTTTTATAAAACAAATAAGGAATGAAGAAAAAAATATACATATAGGCTGCGTTTCTTTATACATTCCGGATAATCCCATTTCACAGCCGGAATAAACAGAATGCGTTTGAAATATACGTCAACATATCATCAGGAACATCCTAAAGAATAAATAAACAAAATAGTTTATTCCAAACATTCAGAATGAATAAAGAAATGCAGCCATAATGTTTACACACATACAGTGGTCGGAAAAATATAAGTCGCGTGAAATTTCGACAAGTTTTCACAGTTATTATTATTATTATTTTTTGTTATTAATTTAATTCATTTGTTTTTTTAAAAAATATAGTTAATTCTTTAACGAAACCCGTATAAATCCAAGTTTCAAACTTTGTGTAATATTAAAAAAAAATTCTACAAACTTTCGTAAAAATTTCGAGCTTTTAAATTAGATTTTCTAGAAGGATTTTGAGTATGCAGTTTTGTAGCCTACTCAATTCTAGTAAGTGCAAGTTTCAAATGGCTAAACATTTTCGTTTGAAAATTTTTCTTCCGAAAGTGTTTCGGTTTTCTTCCACATAAAAAAAACTGTGTTTATTCGCTATATGAACGCAAATGCGACAAAGAAAATTCTACATAAACGGTAATTTGTATAATTTGCAGGATTGAATAATGTAGCATTTCTTATGGGATATTTTTACCTCATTATGAAATTAGTGAAGCAAAAAAGAATAAATTAGTTAACACGTAATTCCTCACAAGAAGCAGTTCACCTCCCGATTCTGCCGGTAAACTGAAATTCCCCACAAAAAAACAGTTCCTACAAAAAAAGTGTTCCTAGTTCGTAGAGATGGCCTACACCTGTCAGAATTCTCAGTCACTGCCTAATTTATTTTTTGGTGAGCCCAAGGCCGTTGCTGCCCTCCCTCTAAGCATTTTGCTTGGCTTAGTTCTCTTGAGTTCTGACAGTGACTTTCTTCCTTTTACTGCGCCTCTTTTCTAATCTCATCTTTCTCAAATCTAAAAGAATGACAAATAATCAAATGGCATGGTTGCCGCTGAGTCTCTGGCTAACCTATCCGGTTGCTTATTATTTTCCATTCCTTAATGGAATGCGGTATTAAGTCTCTCTATACGCTCTAAGCCTAAGGAAGATTTTCATATGACGAAAGTACCTCAAGTACTGCAATCACACTCACCTACACTCAGGGGCGAGAAGTCCAACGGCTAGTTAGGCGACACATCGATCACCATATGGTTAGACATATGTAAAGATATATATGAACATACCCATCGATAACTTTCGAAAAACATATCGCTACATTATCGAGAACAGTAACTGAAAATTAAAAAAAAAAATATCGAAAAAACTCATCGATAAATATGTCAACAACATCTATTAAAAGCACAAGTGACAAAAAAAGAGATTGTGACCAATAAACTCTATGTTTTCGTGGTCCGATTGTGGAAAAACGCGTAGCTATGCGTTCGTCTCGGCAGGAATCAGGTTTATATCTAGGGGAGAACATAAAAAGGGTTGCCACCTGTTAATGCTTTAAATTCAATTAAATTAAATTAATTATTGAAATATGGGTATCGATGAAATTGGCTTTTAAAAATCTTTGTATCTAATCTACATGTATGTAGAAGAGTTGCCACATGTTTAAAAAATCAAATTCAACTTGAATTAAATGATTTATTTAATTGAAATATTTATCACAATATGTGCGTAGGACGAAAGGGGCCTTCTGTTGTAGTTTGAAATTATTTGTAATAGGATTGCCTCCGGTTTGAATAGTCTAATTTAATTTAATTATACACAACTTATAAAAACTACTAAAATATGGGTATCGAACGAAAGAGTGTTGAGAAAAGTTAACTTTGAACATTTAGAATATTTTTGAGATGCTTCAGGAGCGCTGCCACCTGTTCGAAATTTTAATTCAAATAAGAAACATGAATTATTACAATTTGGGTATCAATTGAAACGGTTTTGAAAAGACTTTATTTCTTAACTACATATAGGAGGGTTGCCATGTTTTTAAGAAATATATATGGTTATTGAAATATATATCACAATATGGGTCAGATAAAAGAGGTTTAAGAAGGTTGAAGTTTAAAAATATTTTGAAGTTTGTTAAAAAAAAGAAAAATGTGAAAATTTTTTTATGTATGTATGCACATAGAGTTTTGTTGAAACAAATTACGCCTGATGTATACCAACTAGCATCTCCGAAATATTTATACTATATAATTATTTTACGTGCATAAGTATCACCGATAATTAGTACCAAATCTTAGATACATCCATCTAATATTTTACTCTTCTTCTTCTTCTTTTGCAGTTTGCCACCAAAAACCGCAGATGTGTAGAGATTTATTTGAAAATAACAGCATAGAGATTAGCAAAGTGTTAAACCACAACAGCCGCAATTAACCAGCTCAGCAGCCGAGCAAACAAGCTCGCAAGCCAACAGTCACGATTTTTACACTGACGCACATTAATCATCGTCGACGGCGGCAGCATTTAGTGGTTTCAACTTCTTTCGGCTGCAAAGTAAATCCTCTTTTCCACAATGTACGCGCCGCAGCGAGTTTGCCTACTCATTTGACATACACCAAATAGGCGTGGTGACGTAAGAAGAACAACAACAAAACCACAGGGCTAGTGCCCTGCTACAATTTTAGTGGAATCAGTTCAACCATTAATTACCAAGTTAAAGCTTAAAATCTTGAGCGCAAAGTGAAAAAAGTTGAAAACATTTGTGAAAATACATTTTTTTTTTATTTTACATTTTTTCATCTCTAAGTTTTATGCATATTGCGGTCAAGCTAAGTGAAAACAAAACGAGTGTTCCATAAACTAATAAAAAAAGCAACCATTTTTGGTGAACAAAATTTTTTTTATCGATACCCACAGCTTAGTAAAATCTACTTGCCGCATGTGGATTCCATCGGTGCTTGTAATTCTGCCAAAGACGTTGTTGAAGTGGACGACGCCGCATTGCAAGAGTGCAACTAAATTTAAAGCGAAAATCGTCAAACACCGTCAACTGCAAGCAGAAAGCGAAGTAATAGCCAAAACAACAACAACAACCACATTAGTAGCAGTCATTGCGTCAGTTAGTAGCAGTGCTGAAGCCGAAGCAGCATCAGTATCAGCAACAGCAACCGCAGCTGTAGACTTTAGCGCAAAGCAATATTCTAGCGAATCGAAAGTCGAGTCCTCACCAACGTCGTTGTCCTTTTTCGCGCTTGTACTTAGTATTTTCATCAAACGCACCCATCATTACATCCATCAATTCCTCCTCGACGCTGTGATAACAAAGTTAGCGGTCTTAATGAATGACTTTCGGTTAAAATTACTTAAAAAGCCAACAAAAACGACAACAACAACAACAACAAGATCAACCACAAATGTTATAATTGAACAAATAATAGCATTAATCGAAATAACAACAACAAAAGTGCTCAAAGCTATTAGAACAGTGTTTGTAGAGAGTAAGCAACAATACAAAAACAATAAAAACAACCCATTAACAATATTAAAAATCTTGCCAGCATCAACAAAAACAACATCAAAATCCAAATCAAAATCAGCATCAACATCAACTAAAACAAAAGCCACAACGAATCAAATCAAACCGAACCCAAACACAAGCAAAACCATCACCAACACTAACACCAACACCAGCGAGGCTCCATCCGCAACTCCAATATTACCACCAATCGTAAGCAAAAACAACATCACGGTGGCCGCCCTTGTTACATTACGTCTATTCAATAATAATTCCTTCTCGTCGAACAATCATCGTACTTACAATAACAGCAGCAAATCGAATAAAGTATTTCTACACTATACACCACGTGATCCGCGTTTAAGAATCGTCAATAGCAATCAAGAAATTTTATTTAATAAACACCATTTCGATAGTGTTAGTGAATTGAAAATAACTGAAGATTTATGCGCTTATGGTGAATTGATTGGAGGCTCCTTCTCAACGCCAGCGCCATTCAAAGGCATTCGTGCTAATTTAGTGTACTGTGATTGTAATAAAAGAAATTGTTGTTGTAATCGACAAAATAATACAAATTCTAATTGTATCAGTAATAATAGCGAAAGTGTAAGTGAAAGCCTTGAAAACAATTTCATTGGAAGTGAATTGTCGCGTAAAAAAGAGATTGTTGAGGCTAAATATTTTCCCGTACTGGAAGAGGAGCGCAGAGAAGCGTTGTTACAGATCTCGGAGGCGAAATTCTTGAAGTAAGTGTGCTTTAATAACCATTTTTATTTGTTACTTCAAAAACATGTACTTACTAAAGATGGGCAAATTGTTGTTAAATCGATCATTTTTGATGTGGATGATTTTTGGTCAGAACATTTCTTTTATCTTATAAGGAAGTTTCGCCAACGCAAAAACTTAAAAAAAAAATCGGAAGCTCTGCAAAATTATAAATTTCATAATATCCGGGATTTTGCATGTTTATTTTTTGAGTCGGAGTAAAACTGTAGGTCCCTCCCATTTCTTTGGCTACATCAAGGCGTACGCCATGCATCGGAGGAGAAGCTCAGACGAACACTAGCATATTACGTAAGCGCCAATCTGTGAAAACAAAAACTTATAAAATTTTGGGCTAAAGTTGTATACTGATCTTAAAAGATCCTGAAATTTCAAGCAGTGGTTTTTTAAGATATGAATTTTTGAACTTTGAAAAACTTTAATTTAAAGTTTGCTATAATTTTTTTTTTCATAGTTAAAAAATTTTTATCTTTAAAAACACCTTAAAAATTTCAGGTTCTTTTAAGATCAGTTAGAGGTTTTGTAAAAAAATTTCACGATTTTTTTCTATTTAAAAATTTTGTGGGTCTCAAAGTTGTCACATTTCCTTAATTTTCTATATTCTTGTTAATTTTTTGGATAACTGGTTAACTTAAATATGGTAGCAATATTACACTCCCAAATGTTGACTTTGACCGCGTGCCATCATTGGTAAAAATATTATTTACATAAACAAAGTGCAGTTACATGAGTATGGAATTATTAAAAAACATCAAGTAATATTTAAGCAAAAAAAAACAACCGACGCTCATAAATATAATTTTGTCCATGATCCCATCATCGGAACAAAATCAAATTGGAACGCGACCACCTCCGAGGTATTCCCTTCACAATGAAAGAAGATTCATATAATTCGATTCACGCTGTCAAAAGCTATATCCAAGTATCCTTTATATGCTCATATAAAAATTTATCGGAACTAAAGAATGGGGCCACCCTTGAGGTACCAATTTTCCGATGCAAAAAATAAAAATAAAATTATCGAAAACGGTTCACATACTCCAAAGTTATAGGTGGTAGGAATAATCTGCTCCTGTTTTGAAGTCGGTTAAAAACACAAAACAAATTACATACGAAAGTAGATTTTTGGCAAGAAATTCGGCCAAATTACCCATAGTGCTTGGGTGCACCTAGCGTATGAGTAACTTGTAAATTATGATTTTTATTACCAAGGGCCCCTCAATGGTTTTATGAAAAAAAAGTCATAATATAATGGTTATATGTAATTTAATTTATAGGGTACAGAAAAAAATACTTTTATTTTTAAAATATTTTTTCTAATTTTGTCTTTGTATAAATTCTGGGATTTCAAACCGGAAAATTGAACCAACTGGCCACAGGCCCTTTCCTTTCCAATACTACCAAACACTCAGCAGCACCTTCTTTAACATTGGCCATTGCTACAGTTTATGAAGCTTCTCTGGGCTTTACACATAATCTTTTACACACATTATGCCTTACGCCGTATGAGAAAAATTTTTCATTTACTTTAATAATTCATTAAAAAATTAAAAATGGCTCATTTTGCCCTAAAATTTTCACTATTAATTCATGTCTACCCAAATAACATGCTCCTCTTAATACCAAAGCTTATGGAAATTGCTCAAACTATTTTTCATTGTTCTTTGTAAAGAAAAAAAAAAAACTTATTATGCGCCGATTTTCTGAAGGAAAGTTTCTATTATAGGTAGGTAACCAGAAATATCTTAAAACATATGTACGTAAATGAACTTAAATGCATCTTTGTTTCCTTTTCATATTCACTTTCATTAGAACCCCACAATTGGTTTGAAACCAAATCATAAAGAAGAATGTAGAGAGGCATCAACTTCAAGCTCCTATTTGCCCGTGATTATATTTCCCTTGCCAACAGTTGTTCCTCCGACCTTCTCATTGATAAATTTGCGCTATCGTCTTGTTTATTTGTTTATGTTGATGTTTTTCATTTGCTTTTGCAATTATTTTCTTTATTTGTTTAAATAAGTATGTTTCTACAAAGTATTTGTTTATCTACTACCACTCAATAATTGTCAAGTTTTTCTACAGTGACTGAGAGCAGGCGGCTGCAGAAATCCTCTGACGTTAATTCGCTGTAAAGCAGCGACGTGAGTTGAAGATAAGTAAATACTATGTGCATTAGAGTGGGTCGAAAAAAAATTTTCGAGATATGGTTCGAGGCACATTTCAAAATTTGTCCTCTTGCTGAAGAAGGTGCTGCCACCAAACTTTGCTTTTCTAAGTATACACTATCTGGTCTGAAACTATTGATAGTCGGCACTATCGACACTAAATCTCTTGCGTAAAGAGGAAAATTGCTAAAACCATTTTTAGTAATTTTACAGGAGATGAAGAAATTTCTCATAGCTATTTTCTTCAAGAATTTTTCGAAACTTTTAATAAAATGTACGCTGCCGAACTATCATTATTACAAGGTGCTGCCAGGTTGTGTCAAATGCACATGCAAATTGGCAAGAAGCAAAAACTATCGATTGTGGTACGATAGTAAAAATCCATCGATAGCATCGATAGTGCCATCGATAATTTCAGACCACTGTATTGCACATATATTAACCAAACAGTTGGTTAAGCAACATAAGATCATTTCAAATTTAAATTAGCTGACAAAATATTACAAGCTTTAGTTGTCATGGCAAGAGTAGCTTTTTATAAAAATCATTAATATTTTTGTCAGTTTCCAAGGAATTCAGTAAGGCATTTCAAAGTCATTGAAAGTTGGTACAGATATTACAAATTTCAAAAGGAAAAAACTAAGTAAGGGGGGTCCCGTTTTCTGCGATACAAAACTTAGACACCTCTAATGTACGTACATACATTTTTAAATGGATATATTGGTGTGTATTTGTGCGCATGGTTGAGTATACATACGTGTGAACATAAATATCTGAGTTCTATGTATGTATATACATTAGAGAGTATCACGATGTGTGGGCCAAAAAAGTTTAATTTGATCGAAGCAATTCCAACAGTCTTTAGGAAGGAGAGTGTTTCAGAAAAGTAAAAGTTGTTACGGAACACTATAAAAACAACTAAGTCGGTTTTTAACCGACTTCCAAAAAAAATTATGAGGGTATGAATTCTTCGGAATTTTTTTTATATTTTTTTTATGTATGTTACCGCATGGCTTTGGACCTCGTGAACCGATTTCGATAGTTCTTTCCTATCGGAAAGTAACAAGAATTGTCCCATACTTATTTGGTTAAGTTTGGATCATAAAAGTATATAGGCTTTTTCACACCTTTACAACGGTGTTTATAGAAATCGGACATGAAATAAAGTAGTTATAGAAAAGAACGATTTAGCTGCTTTTACAGGGTGCCAAAAAAGTTTTCACTCCTGAAATACTCTCACAGTGAGTGTTCAAGACCGCTTAAAACAAAGAACTTTTTTTGTGATACGCTCTAATGTACATATGTACATACAAACATACCGACCCATGCAAGAATGTACATATGTAGCTCTATCGTATGTGCATTTAGCCGCTCGCGCTGCTTGAAGTCTTGACAATTTTCTTTTTTAATTTCTGCTAAGTATTCTTCTATTTTTATGAGGTCGAATTGAAGAAAAATTAAAATAATTTTATTTTGGCACTATTTTTGGTTTTTACGAAAAATTTGTTGTTGCCGTCGCCAAAACAGTCTCGCGCAAGAATTGTAATGGGATTGTCGCTTCCTGTTTATGTCGGGTACTTAATTGTGATGCGAAAAAATCTTAGAAAATTTGTGAAACATAAACTTTCAAATAAACCTATCAGGTATCGGGAGTTTAAAATGCGCAATGTGTGAAATATAATTTATGTTGCGGTCGATTTTTTTTTAATTTTGTTATGTGGTTATGCGTAAATATAAAAATTAATACCTTAAGAAAATATAATTTTGAACAAACAAGGCTTGTACAGATATGTGTGCGTATGTATAGCAAATAAATCAAATAGTTTAAAATTTGTAACAAATTTAAAAATTCAAAATATATGCGCCAATATGAACTGCGCTGCGTGCACGTGTGAACTTTGGAGTTGAATAGATGAGCACAAATTAATCAAATTAATCAGTATTAAAAGCATACTACGCTCGAATTCTTTACCAGCGCCCTCTTATGTAAGCTTCTTTATTTAATACTCTTTGCATGCCGTCTTTCTCTTAGCCTAACGGTACTTGGCCTTTATATTTTTATCCAAAAGAATTTGCTTCAACTCTTTTCGATTTAAAGGTATCAGATTTTGACTAAATATTTACAAATAATTCGTATGTAATTCGTTACTTGCCGTTATTTTGTCCATGATCAAGTCATCGGAACTAAACCAAATTAGTATGGAACAAGTAAGAAAGTCTAAGTTCGGGCGGAGCCGAACATTAAATACCCGGCGCAATTATTAAATAACGGGTGATTTTTTTGAGGTTAGGATTTTCATGCATTAGTATTTGACAGATCACGTGGGATTTCAGACATGGTGTCAAAGAGAAAGATGCTCAGTATGCTTTGACATTTCATCATGAATAGACTTACTAACGAGCAACGCTTGCAAATCATTGAATTTTATTACCAAAATCAGTGTTCGGTTCGAAATGTGAAATTTTGTTCAGCGATGAGGCTCATTTCTGGTTGAATGGCTTCGTAAATAAGCAAAATTGCCGCATTTGGAGTGAAGAGCAACCAGAAGCCGTTCAAGAACTGCCCATGCATCCCGAAAAATGCACTGTTTGGTGTGGTTTGTACGCTGGTGGAATCATTGGACCGTATTTTTTCAAAGATGCTGTTGGACGCAACGTTACGGTTAATGGCGATCGCTATCGTTCGATGCTAACAAACTTTTTGTTGCCAAAAATGGAAGAACTGAACTTGGTTGACATGTGGTTTCAACAAGATGGCGCTACAGCTCGCGATTCTATGGCCATTTTGAGGGAAAACTTCGGAGAACAATTCATCTCAAGAAATGGACCGGTAAGTTGGCCACCAAGATCATGCGATTTGACGCCTTTAGACTATTTTTTGTGGGGCTACGTCAAGTCTAAAGTCTACAGAAATAAGCCAGCAACTATTCCAGCTTTGGAAGACAACATTTCCGAAGAAATTCGGGCTATTCCGGCCGAAATGCTCGAAAAAGTTGCCCAAAATTGGACTTTCCGAATGGACCACCTAAGACGCAGCCGCGGTCAACATTTAAATGAAATTATCTTCAAAAAGTAAATGTCATGGACCAATCTAACGTTTCAAATAAAGAACCGATGAGATTTTGCAAATTTTATGCGTTTTTTTTTAAAAAAAAGTTATCAAGCTCTTAAAAAATCACCCGTTATATGTTTTCCACCTTTCCGAAAGCTACCGCTACACGATAAGCCGGGGTGTATAAATTTTAAGTAAATTAGCGTCCTTAAATTTCGAAATATTGCAGTTTCAAGCATTTCTGAAATATACCGTTATATGAAAAGCGGTCGTAATTCTAGTCCGATTTCAATAATTTTCAACGCTTTGCTTTTATGTGGCAAGCACAATAACCATAACGAGCTTGGTACAAATTGCTAGAACGGTTAGCGAGATACATATATGTGATCATAAGTGGGCGGTGCCACGCCCATTTTCCAAAATTGTATCATAAGCGTATTTCTTGGTAAAAAATTGTTGCAACCATCAATTTTGAATAAATTAGCTTTAATATTTACTGATTTATCGAGGATTTCGTATTTTTCTAAATTACCGTTATATGGGATGTGGGCGTGGTTATTGTCCGATTTTAAAAATTCTCGGCCATTTGGTATGTTGTAGCCGGACCAACAACTGTGCCAAGTTTGGAAGAAATTGGTGCAGCGGTTACCAAGATATACACATGTAACCATAAGTAGGCGTGGCTACGCCCATTTGCCAAAATTTTTTAATATTCTAATTTTTCGTCTAAAACTCATTGTAAATATCAATTTTGAGTGAATTATCTTCAGTAGTTACTAAAATATCGCACTTTTCGTATTTCTGAAAATTACCGTTATATGGGAGGTAGGCGTGGTTATTGTCCGATTTCGCCCATTTTCAATACCATCCGTCCTATGCCCAAAAGAAGTCCACGTACCAAGTTTCGTTATGATATCTCAATTTTTACTCGAGTTATCGTGTGCACAGACGGACAGACGGACGGACGGACGGACGGACGGACGGACAGACAGTCACCGCTTAATCGATTTCTCTTTTCATTCTGATCATTTATGTATACATTTGTCTATATCTATCTCGATTCGTTTTGCCTGTTACAAACAACCGTTATGTGAACAAAGTTATAATACCCTTGTGCACAAGTGCGCTCGGGTATAAAAACCCTTGAGGTACCACCCTTCCAATATAAAACGAAATATCGAAAGTTATGCGGTACCATACATGGAAAGAATATTCCGACGAATTGATAGGCTCTTTCTCTTTCTGAAGTCGATTAAAAAAAGTCAAACTTTTTAGGAGAGAAAGTAAGGTCCAATCGACCCACAATTTTAACTAAAATGTCTGTAGCAGATTCTTTCTTTGGTGACTCGAATCTCTGTATCACTAGGATTGATATCAGACTATGGAAAGTATTTAGGTGACTAACAGCACATGGTGCCTAAATGTATGTTATACAAATACAAATATGTACAAAGTCGCATGTGCAAAAATTTCATATAAGAAATTATACACAAACATTTTTTTGGCGCCACTTAATAAAATTTACTAAATAAAGTAGTAAGTTGATGGCAGCCCAAACCACGCTCAACCTGCTTTGCGCAAAGTTGCGATATTGGGCCTCATGCATAAAAAGTGAGCTTAAGCTCCGACTCGACAAATTCTTGAGCTTGAACTCACTCCATCAGTGCAAGTATTGAGTCTGAATTTAATCTCACTGGTTACATAATAGCACTACACATATGTATGGACAGTTTTACAAAAAAAAATCCGAAAGAAGCTAAGTCATTTTACTGAGCTAATAATTATGTTTTCCAACCTCGGGGTCTGAGCTTCTGAAGGTGGTTACCCAAGATAGGCGGAAAAACTGTGATCACCTTATGTTTAGGTGGTAACCATTGTAGAAGCGAAGCCGAATCAGAAGCTGAACCTAAAGAAGGAAAATAGTAAAGCAGTTGTACGAACGTTATCATAGTGCGAGCGGAAACGAAGATTAGGATGTTGTGTGGGTTATAAATCGCAAGCAATACTCCTTCAACTTTTTCCTCATCTCCGTATTCAGCTTTGCTTTCACTCTGTTTGTAACACAAGTCTTATGACAGAGACTTGTAAAGGTCTGCCGGGAGGCCAGCCTTGGACTTTGTCCCATTTTCTTCACATTCACTTTGCAACATCGAAGAAAAGGTGATCTGATAACAGTCTCGTTAATCCAGTTTTATACCCGACTATTTCCAATGAACTGTTTGGCCGAGCTTCTCCTCCGATTTGTGGCGTGTGCCTTGATGTTGTCGCACAAAGCAGAGAGACCTACAGTTTTACGCCGACTCCGAACAGCGATTGTATTTTTTGTGAGAAGCTGTTTTTCATGACAGAAATACACTCGGAGGTTCGCCATTGCCTGCCGAGGGACGATGCGATGTTGCTTTGACCAGGGTTTGAACCCTGGTGCTGCGGAGTGGAAGCGCGCGCTGCTTACCACTACATCACAGCGGCCAAACACTAACATATGTGTAAGCGCCAATCTATTTCCAATGAACTATATCCAAGTATAAGACAATTTTTGCTTTGCGATCCCAATCTACATAATTTCCTATCAAGGGCAGAAGGGCAATGCAGTGGCCTCATGCATAAAAAGTTAGCTTAAGCTCACACTTCATTTTTGTATCGATGGATTGAGCTCAAGCTCAAGAAATTGTTCTGAAAATCGTATCGACCTTAAGCACACTTTTTATGCATGAGGCTCAATATACCCAGATATCATTTAGCGGAGTTAACTACCAAGCCTTCACTGCTATACCAATCCAAAAGTTTATTGAGTAACCCTTATCAAAAGTTAGTCGGTGGCGATAGATACCTTCGCTACTTTCAATTGCTTTAAGCATACTCTGCCTCTACAGATTAAGCATATTCTGACGGACCCCTGCAAAACTACTCCACGCGACTACTCCATGCATGCGTGTAAAGAGTACTCCCTAAGGACCAAGGAGTGAGTACTCCAAAATTAACCACAATTCATATAAAAAATATCGTCCAATTAACATTGCGATGTCCTAGGGCAGGACCATATACTCCACCAACCCTGCGTTGCATCAGAGTAGCACAAAACTACTCAAACATATTAAGAATGTCATTGTTGTTATATTTTTTCGTTTGTACACGCTTTTGTTCTTCTCTTCTCAAATGCTTTTTCGAAATTAATAAAAACCAAGACAAAAATTAAAAAATACATGTTGCCTCTGACGGCATTCGAACCCGAACATGCTGGGAGTTGAGAACTAACAGCGAGCATCTCTACACGTTCAGCTACAGCCAGACATGCAAATGTGCTTTCAAATGCTCAACTTCAATTACGTTCCGTTAAAACACGAGCAGTGATCGAGTTGGTCCGCTCCAGCATGACAGAGGAACACTTTTGTAAGTACTCCAATTTACCACAAATAGACTACATGGTCCAACGATTTTTGCAGGGACTTCTTGAAAATTGTGGATGTCCTACTGTTATGTCTTAAACTGTAAATCTCCGCACTGCATTACTTAGGTCTCCTTTTACCTTGCAAACTTATCTTAATCAACCAAATTGCAATTATTCTAATCACTCCTCAGAAACTGTGTGAGATCGGGAAACTCCAATTCATATGTGTTTTCAAGGCGAAATTTCGTAAAATCAGAGAGTACTTTAAAAGCTACATTTTGAAATCATAACACCTTTGACGGAAGAGTGACTCTATACCGTATAAGCATTGGCTTAGTTCCAATTCCTGGCATTGATTTTCAATCAGTTTTAAAATCCACTCCTAATCGACGCCTTAATATCAAGAACCTGGTTAATAGATGGCGAAGTCTATTAGTGACCGGATATGGTACCTCTAAAAGTGACAAGAATGCTTGATAAAATTTTAATAATTTTTTGCGGAGAAAAAAAGTTATATTTTTTTTTTTTGTAAAATACGACTATTAAAATTTTCTAATATCAAATTTTTATTTACTTTCAGAGACTTGCAGCTTGGATTCATATACTTAAAAGCAGCTATAACTACAGTTGGTTTTCTGCTGTGAGCGCACATCCGCACCTATTGTGGACGCGTGCAGTCGTAAAAAGCGACGCCAGGCTCCGTTGTCACCACTGCAGCTGCGGCTTCAGACCCAGCGAGTTTTATGGTGCTTCAATTATTTTGTATCAGAAAAAAATAAGAACGGTGCAGACGTTATAGCCACGTTTGAAAAACGTGGTAAGCTTTGAAACTCCTACATAAAAATCTTCGTACATACATACATACCTACGAAAAAAATAAGGAGCATTTTATAAGTGTGAACTCGAGAACGTCAAATTGACGAAGAGCCGCTCACAGAGCTCTGGCATACGCTACGCCCATTAAACGTAGCAAAAGCAAAGGCTAAGTAGTGGAAAACAAAAGAAAAAGAGAAAATTCAATAACAAATAAGGCCGAGTACAATAAACGAAACTTTGCTGAAATCCATTGTGTTCAAGAAGAAATCAGGCTAAAACTAAAAAAACAACAAAACAATTTCAAAACAACCATTTGGAACAACAAAACAAAAACACACACACCTGTAACTGAGTAACTTAAATTTTTATACTAACCTTCACGCAAGTGAGCTTTCATCCAGCACATCCTCTCATCTGGTAGCCCGCATAGTAACACATAAAATCACCCAAAATGGTTGCAAATCAAACAAACACAAAAAGTAAACCAGACGGTGTAGTTTATCAACAACTATCCACGCCGACGGACATGCAGTCGATCGTTCCGTCAATGACGCCAACACCCACAACCACACCACTAAATAAATCACTCAAGCACGAATTCTTTCCCGAGGTTAAATTCTGTGACCTCTCGGCAAGCGACTTACATAGTGCTGACGAAGATTACGCCCCCAATGAACGTCTCCTAAGGCATTGTCTCATCACAGTTGAGGATGCCAATGGCGGCATCACTACCGCCACCACAACAACACTGGCTATGTTGGAGGGTAATGATGTGAAGAAACGTACTCGTCTAATCTCAAACGAATCGGGCGACTCGATTGATTCGGGCTCTAGTGATAAGAAAAAGCCAGAAATACCAGATGGCGGCTACGGTTGGGTTGTGGTGTTTGCCTCGCTCGTTGTTTCTCTCATCGCAGATGGGTTGTCTTTTTCCTTTGGTCTTATCAATTCAGAATTGTTGGACTATTTCGGAGAGTCACCATCGAAAACTGCGTGGATTAGTTCGTTGTTCTTTTCGGTGCCACTGCTTATGGGACCCATTTGGTCAAACCTGGTGGATAATTATGGCTGTCGTAAGATGACGATATTTGGTGGACTGCTCTCCGCCTTCGGTTTTGGTCTGTCTTCGCTTTGTAACTCAGTGGAAATGCTAATGTTGACTTTTGGCATAGTTTCTGGGTTGGGACTGGGTATTGGTTACGTCACAGCAGTGGTATCGATTGCCTTCTGGTTCGATAAGAAACGCACATTTGCTACGGGCATCGGCGCATCCGGCACTGGCATCGGCACCTTCCTTTATGCACCACTAACGCAATGGTTAATCGATAACTACGGCTGGCGCGGTGCTACGCTTATACTTGCCGGCACAATGCTGAATACTTGCGTGTGTGGCGCGCTAATGCGCGATCCCGATTGGCTAATCGAGGAAAATCGTCTGGAAAGTCGTTCACAAAGTGTGACAACATTTTCCAATTCAAGCGTGTGTCTCGAAGAAATCAAAAAACTACTTGATACTGGTGTGACAAAGGAAGCTGTACTTGATACGCTGGTGACTAAAAACAACACCGAAGCTAACCAGCAAATTAACGATCCGCATGAGTTTGTGATGAAACGCTATCGCAGCGAATTATTCTTACCGACTTTCTTAGTTTCGCAGGAATTAGAATGTCTATACGAGATCAAGAGTCTGAGTCGGCGCTCGCTACGGCAAAAGGATGGAGTTGATGCACCTTCACGTGAAAATTTATTATCCATGTCTTCGGCTGGTCCCAACCCCACGGCGACTATGATTGGCTCACCGGACGACACAATGATGGGCGGTATTGCCGAAAGTGCTGCTGAAGATGCAAAGAAAAGCTACTTGGCTTCGATGGAGACACTCTCACCATCTGAAAAGAATTCGCTGGATCGTGAAACGCCCTCTCGAACATCTTTGTCTGTGGAACGCAACTTTCACGACGCCTATTCCAACGCACTCCCGCCAACGCCACGCGAGTATCAACGGAATAGCAGTAACGATGGAAATATCGCCAACTCACGCTACTCACTTAATGAGAATTTTTTCAGCACGAAAAATGCAACCACATCCTTTGTGGATCTTAAGCCAAATGGTTTGCGACACAATTCAGTCGATATACTGAGTGATGAAACTTACTATATGTCAATTAAAAACGATACCGCAGGACTTATAGAGGGTAATTTAAGAAAGCTAAATAACGGTCGGGCAATCATTTCGATACCGGAAAATGAAACAATCAATAAGCCAACAAAAAGGGCACGTACCGATAGTATTAGCGGAATGCGACGACTATCTAAGTCTAAGAAGCCGATGACACGCTCAAGTTTGAGGTACAACACCTCAATACGAAATTCGAATTTCCTGAAAAACATGCGAATACATCGCAACTCAATACATTACCGTGGCGCGATGTTGAATACACATCGCTATCGATTACGTGCATCCTCGTGTCCGAATATCTACAGAAACTCCATGACGACGATCGCAAAGGAGGAAGAAGATGTAAGTATTAAATTTTATAAAATCTTAGCAATTAAAAAAGACGAATAATTCAGGTAGCAGAGAAAAAAGTAAAGTTAGGTTAAGACAAGTTAAATGAAGTTTAGGCTGGATTGTGTTGCGTTGGTCAATTAGACCTCCTCAAAGCGGTCTATATCAACGAGATAGGGAGAGTTATAAATTGGCTCTCAAAATCAAAACTAAAGCGCGGTTTTTGGGAGACAAAAGATGTATTACCGGACTCTAAAAGATATCCAAATGAATGAGTAGTAACTGTAGGAGAACATCACGTAACGCCGAAATCGCATATTACGTACTTAAGAGTGCTCATAGACTGTAAGATGATATCCCAAACTCTGGGTGTTGATATGGAAAGTGCCAAGATGTAGGCTTCTTGTGAACGAAGTGACTTACTTATAGCCAATGGGTATTGAGCGACTTTCAGCTGATTGTGGTACATACTAGGGTGATCCATAAAATATAAACATCTAAATTTTGTATGCGCCACCCCTACATTGTGTTTTACATTGAAAGTAAAGACTCCCACGAAAATTTCTAAATTTTAAACAAATTTTTGGGGTCGCATTCGTACCAAAATTCACAAATTTACACCAAGTTATACACCAGTGTGCTACTTGAGCCGCTGGAAACGATCCCTAAATTTTTTATAAATTTTGAAATTTTCGCGGATGTCTTTATTTTGTCGATAAAGCGGTTCGCCATGGTGTCGATATTTTAAGCACCACCATAATACCTTGCGTATCTTTTGAACGTTGGTGCCAATCCTTACAGGCTTCCATCAAAATACGAGTACCATCTATACAATAGCAAAGAACTTTTCTAACTATTTAAAAAAAAAAAAAACTTTTTTAGTCAGGTATGCTGTAATGACTGCCAATGTCCGGTTTAGGTTGTGACTTAATACTTTTTCACGCTGCTTAGGAACAATAGAAAAAAACACCCGTTGGCCAAACAAAGTAAGAAACCAACTTAAAGTTTGATGCTAGCTTTTTGCTCTAGATAATATTTTCCGAATATGTTGTTAAGTAGATAAATATGAAGTTTTTCAAATCAAACTGGCGCTATGTACCCTGCAAACCATCCTTTCCGAGAATTTTTAATACTAGGAAAATCTTAAAGAATTCGTTAAAATTGTCTAAGACGAAAAGTACTGTGCACACTTCGATGTTTTAACAAAATTTCTAAAGAAAATCGATAAAGAAATGAAAATAATGCTGCGTTGTGATGAATTTTTCCGAATTTTCTTTAAGAAATTTCTTTACGAGTTCGTGTCAAACACTTCATATGATTTTCCTTGAGGAATTCGGAACAAACTTCCGATACTGTTAAACTCATAAAGATTTTGGGATCTTTGGTTTGCAGGGTATGCACATTTTCTTTTTTGTATACACACATATTTCTTAATTTAAAAATAAATACATAGCCCATTTATTTATATCATTTCAGACGTGGTACGAAAGTCTGTTTGACACTGTGAAGACGATCTTCGATTTTTCGTTATTTGCGGATATGAAATTTACATTATTTAATTTATCAACATTATTTTCATTCATTTGGTAAGTAAAATTTATTTTGTGGAACTTTTATATAGACATTGGGCTTTATTCATAAAAAAAAGTAGGTTTAAAGAGCTTTACAAAGTGACGTTTTCATAAATTTTTCAGTTTATAAACCTTTTTTAAAGCTACTTTATTTTTTATGAATAAGGCCAATTATCTTTAATCTAAAGTATTAAGCTTAAAGTCCCTTTTATATAATGAACGTTTCTTCAAAAGCTGAAACCTTATAGTCATTTATAGGTATTTGTGTAATTGTTGTTCCATGGACTTTATGTCACGGTTCCATGGAACCCAAGGCCAAGGAACTCTAGAGAAAATTCCAGTTTATTATTCTGCGGCATAGAATTTTAACTTGATGTACCGGGCAAAATTATAAAACAAAACCAAAAAAAAATTTATGATTTTTGATGCCAAAAAGCAGTGGTCCATAAGAAAAACATTGTGGTAGTTTATATTATTCAAATTGGGTGGTGCTATTTGACAGTCATTTGCATATGAGTGTGAGCGCTTTTTTTTTATAAATAATAAAACCTAAATAATCTGAAACAATTTTGGCAGCTGCTACAGACGCATGTATACATGTATGTGCCTACATATGTATGTATGCATGTACATTAGGGTGGGCCAATATTTTTTACTAAATCGTATGATTCTGCAAGTAATTCTAAGAGAAAGTGTAGAAGAAACTATGCGGCGGAAATGAGTTGCGAGTTGCATACAAAATGTCTATATTTTATTTTCTAAATTTTCTTTATTTATCCATTGGTGCAAATGTTCATACTTTCCGATATTTCCGTTTAAAATTCTGTTTGCTGTCAGTGCGGGATAGTTTTGTTCTACAACTTATGAAAAAAATTAAACAATGTAATGATAAATTATAGTTTTGAACATAGCGTGGTAAATATAGTAAGATAATTAAAAATGTTATAAACTAAAAAATAAGCATTTTGCATCCATTAGTTGTAACTATAGAACAAAAAAAAAATAAACTTTTGTAAAGTAAATTTTTCTTTAAAAAATTCGCGGGCTAGAAACCCATTTCCGACATATACATAGTTTCTTCTACATTTTCTCTTAAAATTATCTATATAAACCGCAAATGCCACGCGATTTGTCGAAAAACTTTCGTCCGAACAATTCGACCAACCCTAATGTACATACTTGAAGCGACGTTGTTAAAACGCTTTTA